CCGGACACAGCGAAGATGGCTTACAGAAAAAATCGCTCCCATTTCGGAGCTAGTACTTAGGGTATAGAGCTTTCAGAGAAAAATGAGTATCCGAAGTGTTATTTACGCATAGCAAATTTCTTACGGGAAGGAGCGCACGGCGAAGCCACGCGACATTCATCGTATGAGCTACTCACGCACTAAGAAGCCACTCTCATGCTTGGGAGCCAAACAGAAGGGCGTATTCAAAACGTTAAGACAAAAAGTTTTCATCTGTTACGATGCTAGGCTATGGGCACCGTTTTCGGACACTCGAGCACTTCTCTATGATTTCCGGACATATCATCCCGCTTACTTGTCGATAAGCCAGAAACCTGCAGGGGAGCAGTTCTTCCAATTACATGACTACTAGTTACAAGGCTGAAAACGTAGTCCACCAGCTTTCTGATCGTGTGGTCCATGTTCACACTGAAATGTCTTTTCAACAGGAAAACATTCACTCAAAGATGTATAACCTTTTTGTTCATTGGAATTCTTAGATTTAACTTTATTCGTTACCGATTATTTACAAAAGTAAGCCTTCTTGCAATCTGGTAGGTGTTGCTAGTGGTGAGACTCCTTATATTTTTCTAAGATGGTTAAGGCTCATTTGATGCCGCCTGGGATTATTCTCATGCGAGAGGGGAAAGGACATCTTGAAACTACGGGTTAATCCGATAATGACTGTACAGAAGTCCCGTAAACGGTACAGAGAACAGGAATAAAAAAAAGGCAAAACCGGGAAGAGTAGAAAGGCCAGTGTTTTCAAAGACAGGACTATTGAAATAGTTCGTTTCAAGTGAATTGTAATCCCAAGTGACCAATTAAAAGGATTGTAACGGAGCGGTGCTCATCGAAGTTGTGTGGAGGGAATGTCAAGCAGAAACTTCATTGCTATCCCTATCATATGCAGAGAAGCCACTTCATTTCCGATCTCAACAGACAGTGTAGGGCCGAAAACTCAGAAGATTGCCAACCCATTGAATTTGAACACACACCCCTTCATGTTTTTCACAGATAAGAGAATTTTCACGAGAAAGCCAATCCTTATCGCATAAAACAAGTTTCGCTAATGGATACTAATATAAACATAGAGTGTAATATTTCACGCAAATATTGTAACAAGAACAACAAAATGATTTCCGATGAGGGAGTAACGGGCAATGGTAAAGCGGCGTTGGTTTCGTTGGTACCGCCAAGGAATTGGTAACGCCGTACATTTGAAGAATTCACTGATGAGCGTACGGAAGCATTGATCCGATTCCCCTTGTTAAAGGAACCCAGACCTTCCAGCAGGACAGTACACCGGACCACAGAGCCAAGCTCGTCCCAACGTGGTGCGGCCCAGCTTCCGAGTTCATCAGCACCGGAATAGCCCTCCTGCTACTCAAACTTCAACCCACTTGACTTCGCCTTGTGGTCCCTGATTAAAATAGAACCCGTCGGATTTGTCATACCAATTTCGATTCCTTGAAGGCAAGACTCAAGAGCGCCTTTGAAGGAATGGAGGAATACAGGCGTGTAGCATACGAGAGTGTGAGAACAGACTTGAGGCCTCCATCCGCGATCGTGGGAATTATTTTGAATGTGGTTACAGCTTCTTGTAGCAAATAATATCAGCAAACGTGTTCGTTGTTGTTCCCTGCCTAGAAGCTTCAAATACATTGCAACGAATAAGCGCTCATAATTTTGGGACAGCCTGTAATAATGAATATAGTTGCTTAATGTTTTTTGTTATCGGTCGCAAATAAAACGTGTTTTGGCGACCACTCAGACTGAACTTATAAATGCCTCGTTTTTATGCCGTTGCATTTCTTCTGCACCAATCTTTTAATGGATGCATTTTGGCGCATTCTTTTCCTCGATTCTATGCGTTCACTCGACCAAGCACAAACCATTCACAAACTAATCTACGCGGCCTTAATGGCCCGCTCTAGTGCTTCCTGAAATAGACCGAGTAAGAAGAACAAAAAACATTTCCACTATAGCAATGTTAATGAGACTTCCTGTTCCGCCGATATGATCAGTCAGGAAGCCTTTATTTTCTGAACAAAAAGCAAAAAGTTCTCCAGATATCCGGAATCTCCAAGAATGCGGTTAAACTTGATATTCATCAGACAATGAAACTTGGTGTATAATGAAAAAGGAAAAAGCCATTTAGAAAAAAAACAAACATCACTTAATGAAAGCAGGGATCAAATGCAACCTGTTTGTGTTTCTTTTTACCCTTCTGTTATTTTCTTTGATTTCCGATAATAAATCATAATACTCTTCTCGGCAATAAAACTAATGCCCGATGAGATTCTCAAACATCGTCAAAGCTCTGTAAATCTATATTTCCTGATACTTCAGGTCATGACACTCCTCGGAGAATGCTTATCGCGCAATATATTCAAATGTTCGGACGAAAACGACAAGCAGGTTAGAGGACTATTATGGGGCGGCTTGAATCAGCACTCGCACTGGCATTCATCCCGAAAGTTTAGCAACTTGCTTTAGAGCGTAGACCCATTTTGCACTATTGGTATTTGGACTGTTGCTTTTCTGTGCTCCATCCAGATAGAGATGGACGCCTAAGTGCGGCCACACGATGATGTGTGAAGATGACTTCTCGGCGGGCGGGGCAGGAGGCTTACGGGATAATCGGTAAAAATGACTGGGAAGAGTCAGCGTCTTGAACTGAATGACCTCAAGTGAGGCATGCTCTACGTGATCAGCACTGAAGACTTCTGAACCAAGTTGTCCCAAGGCTCATCAGCTTTCGGTGGTCGGGGGACGGCACGGTAGACTACCCACAACAAGGAACGCTTTCGTAACAGTAATAAACTCCCCTTTGAACTTCCTCTATAAGTTGAAAGTGAGCTTGATCGAATAGTTTCACAAGTGGTTTTAGTCTTTCTAGGCTCCGAAGAATGCGAACGAGCCAAAACGTAAGCTGTACGGGGTTGTTGATCATATCTCGGTTGCATAGCTCCGAAAGTAACAGTTACAACTTCAATTATTTCTATTTATTAGACCATCTAGATACAGCTTCAATCGCATGCTGCAGTGAGAACGTATCAGTAGGCCCATAAAGGGACCTATAAATTCAAATCGTCAGTGAATGCAAAAATTAAGTGACGGTTGAAGTCATGACACTCCTCGGAGAATGCCTATCGCGCAATATATTCAAATGTTCGGACGTCATGACATGTCCAACTGATGACGGTTGATCAGTGAACAGTGCTCTTATCGTGTAGGTCGATGGTAATTCAGTATTTCATCGCTGCCCTTGCGTTTTTCCCGTGGCGTGCCTAGTAGTTGCAGAAGCCCACGTTTATGCCCTTGTTAACCCATGGGTTGATTGCTCGAGGAATGTTCCAGAAGTTCATCATCCTTGCTGTTGTGTTCACATTGTCTAGGCAGTTGTAACACTTCCAATTTCTTGTCGAAAAACTCCTTTGCCATCTTAGGTAAGTCACGCTTGCCTGCCACGGGAAAAACGCAAGAGTAGCGGTGAATTACTGAATTACCATCCTACTTACTATTAGGTCGTGAAGAAAGTTCTTGCGGTTTTACGCCGCAAACTTCAAATGCATATATCTCGGCTTGAACGAAACTTCATCAATCG